AGATAGTTTTCCATACAGTTATTTTTAGCGATTGCACCTTCCAAGAAATTGATTGGTTCTATCCTGTTCCCATGCCTTTTAGGCACTTAGGCACAGCCCAGTCATTTTTGATCTTTTTGCCTATTCGGTTCAGTGTAAATGTTTTCTCAATTAAAAGGGATCATGTTCCATTTCAACTTCACAGGCAAACCCCTATTCTTGCTTTTTTTTTAAAAAAAACTTGCCAACCCAAGCCCCCTCCAGTATCAATGCATTCATAAAGCTGTCCCTTCCTCTGTACATCATCTCTTCAACCAGTTGTGGAGATTAATTATCCAGCTCAGCCTCTCTTGGGCCCCTGACATCCCCTGAAGCAGCCCAAGTATTAGTACCTTTGTCTCCTTATCTCAAAGAATCTTCAACATTCCTTTAAGTTTCCTCTTCAATTGCTTGGACTTCCTAACCACTGTATCAATAATATCATCACTGCATTCATGTAAAACTACAAGTTTCAAGGCACCTGTTTGCAACATTAAAGTTATGGGGATACGTTTTTCTACCACTGATTATTCATTCATTTTATGTTTAAATCTCCCTCCCCCGGTGGGATTATTAAGCAATAATGTAACATCTGAAACTTGATTTACTTTTTTTCCCTATGGAGATCAATGCATTCAACCTAATCCCCTCAAAACCTCAGAGTCTGAGCTAGGCAGAAATAAAGGCTGACAGGAAGGAAATAACTTATTTCAATATTTCTAGATTAACACAACGATTGGAGCAAACTATTGAAAGCACATAACTTCACATAACATGTATTATGGGCCATTTTCTCACAGTTGAGGAAATATATGTTTCATTCATTTAAAAGCACTGCTTAAGATGATACATAACCAATAAACATGATGCTGAAAAGCTCGACAGTGAATGACAGACTCCTTCCTACTCTCATAAATGAACACAAATATAAATTAACATTTTGAAACACTTTTTTTATGGAGCATTTACAGTCAACACCAGGAAAATGGATTCTGCTATTCTTCAGAACTCAGAGAACCATACTTCAAAGTTTTAAGAACTTTTAAGACCTCCATCCCGCCCCCCCACCACCCCCCCACACACACCAGAATTAGCAAGTTACATTTTCTTACATTCCAGTCACAAAGGTATATTTGTGGGAAATTATCCCTTTAAATTCTTCGTAAATAGCGTTTGGAAGGCAGCTATTATGATCTGCAAAGGAAGCGCCCCCAACCCTTCTGTAGTGGGTAATTTAAGACGTTTACAGACACCACGAACCACACGTTTACACAGTGACAGATTAAATGGAAAACCTCAATGTCTGCTCATCACTGTATTCTGCTGTCTGTCTGTCTGTCTGTCTGTCTGACCGTCTGTCTGACCAAACAAGCAAATGTATTGCATGTGAAAAGAAGGGCAAACATTTGCCTTCTTAGGATAATCACTTAACAAATCGCTTTTCCTTTTGCACTTTCTCTCAATGAGTGATCAATGCACACACAGCCCACCCAGCTCGGGTTGCCTTAACCTCGTCAATCTGAGGGGGGGGGGGAACGGACGCCGACGACACGGGGACATATTAGGAGCAAAGCAAAAGTGCAAAGGGAAGTTTTCATAGCGGATGGCACACTGCGCATTTTTTGAGATGTGTTTGGTTGTGCAGTGTGTGAGAGCATCGACAGCCCCAGTGTAATCGTTTGCTGCAACTCGTGAATCACTCAGTGGGTTTCCAGCCCATTCCAGATTCTTTGTTTTAAAACAAATGAAAGAAACCACGTTTATTTAAATGGTTTTTGTGTGTGTGTGTGTGTGTGCCACGTTCCCTTTACTACAGTAACATCCAGACGTACTGGGTGGGGGTGTGTGCGTGTGAAGGTGGATGGAGGAGGTGAGGGTTCATTGCTCAGCAGTGTTAAGAGTCAGTGCTCCCTGGCATGTTCAGTCTGATGTGTTTGCCTCGAACTGTGGGTCAGGCGGCCACACAAGCGCATCTATTCATCTGGGTCACCCTCAATGCTTTTCTTAACACAACAACACTGGTCAGTGGAAAGCAAAATGCGTTCATTCTTTTTTCTTGCGCCAGAGGTTTGAATAAAATAACTTCCTTTTTTTTAAATATAAAAATATTTTAAAAAAAGACCCCCCCCCCTCCCCCGCCCCCAATGCAATAAGGTTATTGGGAGGGGAAAAGAAGGCAAATCTAGTTAGGGAAACAGAAACTGCACGTTCAAACAGGAGCGATGCTATCGATTCGGTTCACAGTAGTCGACCAGTGTGTAAGATAGTGAGGCTGTGTAGGACGTAGGGACGAATGGGGTCCGTCTGTGTGTTTGCATATGCACACAGAATGGGGTCCATCTGAATGGGGTCCATCTGTGTAAAGTGACGAGGTAAAGTGGATCGATAACTGCAGCGTACGGTGTGGTTGCGTGAATGCATATGTGACAGGAATGAATCACAGCCCGTGGACGTGTGTGTCCACGTTGCCAGCCTTCCCTCTCCACCCGCAGTGGGAGTCGAGGTTAGCGTCCTCTCTCGGAATGTCGAGCTGAGTTACAAGAACACTCTTCAACACTAAGGCAAAAAAAAAGAGAGAGAGATTGAGAGAGAGAAAGAGAGAGAGAGAGAGAGAGAGAAAAAAGCTGCGCTACTTTCATGTTGCCGCGTTGTCAAATGCATGAGATTTTATTTTCAAGGCTTCCCATACCACTGTTTCATCATCTGGAGTCAATTACGTTATAAGCCAAAAGAATTCACCTCGGGCCTTTGCAGCTTCTGCCAGAATCTACTCGAAAGTTTGTTGCACACGTTTTAGGAGCAGCGACCAGAATGCACAAGTGAGTGGAGTGGAGAGCAACGTTTTGCTCCGAGTGTAAACACATCGGTTTATACAGAAAACGACAAATATGTTTGACTACGGATCATCCAATTAATTTGCGTCTCTATTGCCCATATATATATATATATATGTTTATATATATATGCACACAAATACAAACACACACACCCATCTCCAGGATAGAGAGCACCAAACTATTCGACAGATAAACTATGTTCTATTTCAAATCAGCTTTGGAAAACAGTTCCTGAATGAGCCCATTCTCCAGTGTAAAGGCTGAGGTCCGCGTCTATTACGCGTTACTGCGCATTTGACAACTGGATGGTATCTTTCTTCCGATCGGCTTTTTTTTCTTAAGCAAAAAGAGTCAACTCTTGATTTCCCAATGGGGGTGTGGGTGGGTGGGTGGTGGGGGGGTTATTTTGTCCTGTCCGGGGGTGGTGTAGATGTTAATGCCCACTTTAACCCGTGCAGCATTGCTACAAAGTTCGCCCTGAATCGCGACTTAACTTTATCGCAGTGATCTTAAGAATCGCGGTGTCTTCCTGATTCCCTTTCCCCAGTCTCGCTGCAAGTGTTTTTTTTTCAATGGATGGATTGATCCTTTTTTTTTTGCGCCTGCAGAGCCGCAGCAGAGCTGCTGCAGAGCCGCAGCAGAGCCGCTGCAGAGCCGCAGCAGAGCTGCTGCAGAGCCGCCGCAAGAGCTGAGCCCGAGCTCTGAAAGCTGGAAGGGTAGGCGGTATTGAACGGGTTAAACATTACTCGCGACGTACAGTTTTATTAGCAATGCCGAGCAGGAAGTGTGGATCTTCAGCTGCCATGTTTTTTTGTGTTTTTTTAAAAAAAAGGAACAAATAATTCCGACAATGACCCACTCCCCCCCCCGGGAGCAGTTGTTCTGTTGGCTCTTGCAATGCAAAGCAGATTATTATGGGCAACGGGGCGAGAGAAACAGGGGCTGTGAGTGTTGAAGTGGGGTGAAGTGGGGGGTGCAGACTCCATCCAGCAAAGCCTCTCTTGACTTGCTGTGCGCACTCGCCCAACTCTCCCATCCCCAACTGCCCAGGATAACGCTCTGAAGCGCTGCTCTACTCAGCGGCCCCCTTCATGTTTCAGACCTTCAGTGAAACCACCTCCACAGCAGCTGGAGCATCTGTCTCCCAAGACATAACAAGTTACCGTCACGCACATTCGGCGGCGACTTAAAAGCGTTTGGGCGACTTTGTGGATTTTTTATTATTATTTCCCTCTGACCTGCACACCCGGGATCACACGATTTCAGATGGGGCAAATCACAACGAGTTGCAATGCGATCCGCCAGCGCTCCCGAGAGCTGACATGTACAGGCACTGCTTGGGGTGGGGGGGGGGAGGTGGGGGGGGAGGCACAGCTCTGCGACTGGGATATCATCATCAATAATGTGCTCCGAGTGACTGAACCATTCAACGTTCACGCGTAGCCACAACACGACCTGTCGATGTAGCACCACGACTTCAACCGCTGCCGACGCCACAACTGGCTCCTGTGTTAGGTGGACTAATGCTACCAGTCGATTTGATAAAAAGACTTTTGATCCCCGCCGAAGCATTTTGGTGTTTGGGTTCATCTGCCTATTCCTATGCAAACAAGACTGGGGTGGCAAAGAGCCAGGGTGGTCTGTAACCAGAATACAGAGAGCGTAACGACCACATCTCTTCCAAATGCTGACACTAACACGAGGATTTTTTTTGGTTGGGGGGTGGGGGGTAAAGCTTACCATACTTGTACTTGGGGGAACTCATGTTTAGATGTTTAGATCTGCTCCCCCCCACCACCACCAAACGACGTAACCGACGGAAGCAACATAAACCGACCAGCTGTGCCAAGTATGTATCTGCTTTTTAAAGCACTGGAAAACGACCAATTCACCATATTCCCACTGCACGCCCGACTGTCTGGACACAAACGGTCTCGTTAAACTGTCTCGGAAACGTGTTGGCAGAATTATAGGTGACATCGAAATCGGAGGACTAATGAGACACAAGTCACTCGAACAATTAATTAAATCCAATTGAGACACGACCCAAGAGATTCCTGCCCAGCTCTGCGTTTGCAGCGTTATCAGAAGGTGCCCCTATACAAACATAGGCGCTGGGTATATCCGATGCTGGGTTTTACTTACGTTTTCACGGGGGGAGAGATGATTCCACTCCTTGTCCTTTGGGCTCCTAAATGCATTTGTATGCATTTGTCCAAGCAGCGAAGTCCGAACTGAAAACAGAATTCGACAGCGAAGCTGATTCATATACAGTGTGCATGAAAACCAATGCTGGCGGAAATACACACACACACACACACACAGTGAGAGAGAGAGAGCCCAGACCTAGCACGTTATCCACATGTTGCAGACGGGGAAGTTGTGTGATTTGAGGACTGCATCGCTCCTCCGGCAAAGAAGCATAAACTCTCTCAGACCCTGGCGTGGGATCGATCGATCGATCGATCGATGGATGGATGGATGGATGGATGGATGCAGATGCTTTACTGTGGACGAGCAAGCGTTCAGACTGGAGAGAATGGCATGTGGATAATGACAAACGGTGTGAGTGTGTGTGCGAGTGTGTGTATGTGTGTGTGTGTGTGTATGTCAGAAGTCTGCGTTCAGTATCAGTGTCTTGAATGCCAAGTAAACTGGGAACAGCCGCTCCTCGTCCTCCCTGACGCCCCTCCAGGCATTGACTTCAGGAGGTGCCTTGACTTGTTAGCGAAAGAGGTTGCGGGCAGGAGATGGATTTGCTTCTCGGTGTTAGGTTTCAGCAGTGACATCACAGCCCTGTATCTGATGGGTTTAATGTGCAGTCTCTCGGAGGCTATTGCCCCCCCCCCCTGCACTTCTCTCGCCAAGTGCTGACCCTCCTGTACAACGCACAGCGCATCCTCCGAATGCAAATCGAAGGAGTTACTCATACCGACAAAAGGCGAGGGTGCAAATAAAGAAATAAATTAAATGAATCATATCAATAAATAAGTAAGTAAGTAAATAAATAAATAAAAATGGTTCTAACAGAAACGTTGGATACAGTAAGTGCGAGACAGAGAGCGCACACAGCAACGAAATGACCCCATGCATATTGTAACTTTACACCATAAAAAAATACTATTTAGTACAGGAACATTTTTTTACAATGGGTAGTTAGTGCATCGCCCACACCATTGCCCACACACTGCCCACTGGATGCATTGCCTATAATTCACATCAGCGAGTTACATTTCCCCCAACAGCCAAGGGACACAGTAAATCTGCCTCTGCTGTTGGGAGTGGAACATTTCTCGAAGACACCTGTCCTTAACGGTGTCAGTGCTGAGAGCAAATGAATGAAGGATGACAACTGGAGGCTACTCACCTAAGAAAGATCAACCGAAAGCATTCCCCAAAAGGTGACAGGCTCTCTCCACTCGCGTCTTACCCTCTCAGAGAGGGGAGGAGGAGGGGGGAGGGGGGGGGGGGGGGGGGAAGTTGACTGACGTGTTCGAATTTACATTGAGAATTTAATAAGCGAAACTCGGTTTTTATTTGGGGACCTGGAATCTTGAAATAGGCTATTTCCGTCTCCACACCCCCCTCCCTGCTGCTTCACTCTGCAAAACACGACACTTCGCACCAGCAATCGCCGGAACCTTCAATGCAAACTGTTTCTTATTAAGATTATTCCCGAAATACTTTGGATTGCAGTCCTGCACATAACGAGCATCCGAGCAAATACAATGGTGAGAGGCTGTTCCTGCATCCGAAATGTACCATACACACACACACACACATGTAAGGGAAGGAGGGAGAGTAGGGGCTGAGAGGATTGGCGTGGACATAACCATTACACTAAATCACTTTGGAAACGTTGTGCAAATAAGGTTACACAACACTTTCGGCACAACATTTTATCGGATCGTTTGGTTGGCGGAAAACAAAAGTATCCTTTCGTTCAACCCCGTCTTCCCGTTTGCCAGATCGACTCGCGAAATGAACCAGTGTTGCAACCCGACAGGATGCTCAGGGGGATTTCTGCTGCTAATAACTCTTGATTGCTTGTCTAGGGAGGGATTAAATAAAACACGGTTGGGCAGTGATGCCCCCACCCACCCACCCACCCACACACACACACACCCAAAAGATAACCAACGACCAATTCGCTTCAAAGTAAAAGGAAGATCCAGTGATTTGTTAGTATTGGCTTTGCAAACCCGTTTATTCACTACCAGCAAAACCAACAGAGCCAAGTTACACCAGCGCCGCCCGTGGAGCTCTTGTGACCAGGAACTTGGTTTCAGTTTGGGAAGGGGTGGTGGGTGGGGGGTGGGGGGACCTGCATATTAATCTACAACCTGGAAATATAAACTAGAATTGTGGGTTTTGATAGTTGATGGATTGGTTAGCGTGGCATGTCGTCGTGACCGATGCCTGAACGTTGCATAAAATAACGAGGCTTCCTCAACTGCTGGGACCTTGGGAACCTTATACTTTCCTAAGAAGGAGGTCGATATTGGATATTCTGTACAATGCAAAATTAATTAAGTCCAATATTATGGATTTTTTGTTTTCGATTTACTTTTTAAGGGCAAGGACAGACACACTTTGCAGAACCTTCTTCTCAGGAGACTAAATGAGTTGCGAAGAGTCCACCATAGTTAGATTGTAAACAACTGCGAAACGGACTCGATGGGTTTTCTCGTTTGTCCTCTATGTTCTCACAAGGATCCTCCAAAATGCAAAGGTCGCTGTCCAACAATCTCAACAAGGAAGAGACGGATAGGAAGGAGGTGGTCACTGGCATTAGAGAGGTTGATTGAGAGCCAACTTGCTGAGCAATCGGTGCAAAGCTAATTAACAATGATGTGATGGGTCAACAAATTCAAGAGACAATTAGATATTTGGCAAATAAATCACTTAAGTGCATACAATTGAGTCTGCATTATCTTTTATGGTCCTCTGCAGTTCGATGAAGCAATGATGTGTCACGATTTCACACCTAGTTCCAACGCTTCTCCACACCAGAGCATTTTTTCTCTTGTAAACAGTATAGTCTTCAAGTCACTAGTTATCTCCCACATTTTCAAGGTATGGTTAGGAAATGGGGGCATGGTTGGAAGCTGGGATTGAAGGATGTATATTTTAATAGGGTCATTGATATTGTTTTCGGTTACAACACATTTGCCTGTTGAGGTGGACATTAAAAATCTAATGCCATTTGAAAAGAGTCCTGGCCAATAATCATTCTGTGTTTGGCTAGCAAAGTAGTCACTGCACAACTGAAATCCTTGTGAAACACTTAGAGATGTTCTGATGTGATAAAGCACTATTAAAGGTAAGTTCTTTCCAATTGTGGTTGATCCTTATTGGGTGGTCCTTGTTTCAAGTTGTTGATCTGCTTCAAGTGTTTGGATCATTTGCTTTGGTTGCTTGTTTTCTCAATGGCTGCTGAGTTTGGTTGCACTGCCAAAGTTTTTTATGAGATGCAACAGGATGGAAGAATGGCGGCACACAATATTGAAGCAATCTGGGAAGCATTACACACTGGTAGAACATTAGAATTGGGCACCATATATTGGTTTATCGGAATAGTTCTGCTGTTGCAACTTTAATAATTATATAGTCTACTCAGACTGGGCCACATATATATATATATCGTACATCTCTCCCCATATTTTGATGGGGAGGGGTTAGACAGAAGGATCTCCCTGAGATTAGTTTGTGGAATGCACTTTGTGAGTAGGAAAGCTAAGTGCTTGCTAGTTCTTTGATCTAGGGAGTCCCAGAGGAAATATGTTGGGTGAGATGTGTGATTGTGTGAAGTCTAATCTTGTTGATTTCACACAACATCAGTGAAGTTTGTGCTATCGCCACTAAGTTCCACCCATGTTGAAGCTTGGGATGATCCTGTTATGTAGACGGGAAGGGGTGTAATATTGTACGTACTAAATTGAATGTGGAGGATCTTGACAGGAAGCTCATTCTTTGGGTGGGTATTCTGCTTGTCAAAAGGGCTACGTGTGGTATATAACCATATTTTTAGTTTAATCTTTATGGAATATAGGTGAGTAATGAATATTAGCTATTTCTTGTTATAAGTCTAACAAAGGCAACATGAGGCCATACAAACCAGAAATGCAGATTCCATTCTAGATCTGTGCTGAGTTAGCTAATTTGGGCAGCAGTTTCCCTGCTTTACATGTGATGGATATTTTCATACCATGAACAAATGTGAAATCATTCATGTGTTACAAATTAATTTACCGGAATCAAAGGACTCAGGAACGCATTTCTTACTTGCATGCGGATAAATATGGCCATCTTTCCTAATGTTGGAGAAAGTAATTTTTCAATACACTTGTACATTTAATATGGGGCTATTCATCCTTGTCACCATTTCCCTTCAATTAGATATTTGGCAAATAAATCACTTTTGGCTAAGCACAAAGCAAACCAGTCATAAACATGAAATAAACACAATTTAGGAGGAGAAAATCTTAGTTGCCCAATCAAGTCTGCACCCTCCACAATCACAGAAAACCTACCTTTATACTATATATTCAAACCTACCCAACCCTCCTAACTGCGCCATCTACTGGGGTGAGGGAAGAAATATTGCATACTTCTCCCAGAACTCAAAGCCCAGTTAATTCAAAAACTCCAGAATACTAGTGCTTGTCCAGTTAAACACAAGGAATTGCCATAGCTGAGAAATACAAAGACAAGTTGAACAGGAGAGAAATATACAAATAGTTAATATGTAAATGAAATAAAGTTGTTCAAATAAAAAGTCCTATCATATGCTTGCATAATCTTGAAATTAATCCTAGCCAGAGATTCCTGTTGTGATTTTATAAAGTTAAATCCATGGATTTCAAAAAAGTCTAAAAAGTTAAGTCCTCTAAGTCTATTGGAAAAAGTTAAATCCTTATGCAAATTTTGTCTGCAACAATCCAGTGGAATTCTTATTGCTATCAGTTATTTTCTTTCATTAATTATAACTTCTGTCCTTTTCTTCCTCTTATTGTCCATGTTTTTTTCTGATTTCCACACCATTTCTCTATTTCTCTCTGCCTCCATGCTTGGACTAATGAACATTAGTCTCTTGTTTCTCATTGCCATCTGTTTCTTTAAAAGATATAATTTCTTTATATTGAACTAGTAAAATATTGCAGTAATATTTCACCAGTTGCTATAAATTAATAGGCAGATTTTGTTTTAAAAAGCTGAGAATATTAAAAAAACATTGTGATAGGAGACTCTTTGCCAAACACGCTTCTGGTCTTTGGAGAAATGTTAATGTAACACACAGACATTTTCCCAGAACAACTTCCAAGGAAGTCCACTGTACTGCAGACATGTTAAAATTGGCCACCCAATAGGCAGAACTACCAAGTATGTATTCTGTGAAGATTCTGCTCCTTTCATTCCTCATAAAATGCATTGTGCTGTGTTAAAAAGACCATCACTATATATAGAATTTAGGTAACATTTTTAAAACACTGTTGTACATCTATACTAAAGTAACTAGGAGCTGGATATTTCCTTTCTTCTAACTATGCAAAGCACATTTTGTTTTACATGATTGCATCCCATGTCTATTCTTGACACTTCTTTTTATAATTCTCCTCATAACCTGCACAAAAATAAGGCTCGGCATCAATCTTTTTAAAGTTACAAATTTACAAATCAAATCAACAATTTCAGAATCAATCAGACAACAAGTCAAGATTATATTACAATCATAAATAGAATCCTTTTCCTCCACTCTATCTGGAAAAGTGCATCTTAATTTATT